TTTAGATCATCAGAAGACGAATTCATAGATACTAAACATGGTAGGATTACATATAGGTAAGATGACAGAAATGAGTGGTTCCATCACAAGCCTGCATAAACAGTATACAATTTAAAAGACAACATATACAATGACCTGAAGGATATGTGTGTTCATTCAATGAAAGGTTTTCCTATGAATTAATTAGAGAAGAGTCCATTTTTACTGTGCATTGTGTCTCTTCCTATGGAAAATGTACTGATTTTCTCTACCCGCATTCCTTTGGGCAATAAAAGCAGTGATATCAGCGTTGGTTGCCATGGTGAAAAGGGGGCCTGGTGTCTTTCTGAGGTGTTAAGACGCATTTAGGGGGAAGGTTCCATAGGTCCTCATATGGCTTGTTAACTGAGGGCATGTTACAGAGTATTTGTTAAATATAGCTAACAAAATATATATTGTGTGTTTGATTGGTCCAGACGCTACACTATGGATGAATGACCTACAGAAACAGGCTTGTTTTTATCTCAATGACCCTTGCTTTGTTGCATTTCTTAAATTAGATTTATTTTTGACTGCCCCAGTGAGTCCCTGCTGGCAAATGATCTAACTAGACCACTCTGGCATCGTTCTTCAATTGAAGGCATTTTTTTTAAAGCAACATATAAATCACATATAAAATGTTTTTGCTGATGTCTTACAAGTGCATTGCCCATTTTGAAGGGTTTCTGAAAGCATAAAATGGACTTTTATATTAAGAGAAAGCCTCCAGGATGTCCTTCAAAAGTAAAAGGTTACAAACAGGTAAACAACGCTGATCAAGAGATGTGGTACATAGGAACAGTCATACACTGCATAACACTCTTATTCATAGATCAATAATAAGATCCAATATGCCTGCCACATCAGTCTCAAAATAAAATTGCAATGGTGCATGCCACTTCTTGAGGAAATTACTGAGCTCCCATTGGGAAAATTCCTTTCAACTCAGTTATAACCAATAAAATAACATGCTGGCGACACAGTGACAAATGTTCAAGCACTCAACTGTTCTCAAGACCTGAGTTGATGTTGATGGGATTTGAATATTAATGATGGGACACATTGTGAGAACACTTGACTTCAGCACTTAAACATACTAGCACATGCAAAGCAGCGAGTGAGCAAAGCAGTATTAACTACAGCAGACTCACATTGTGCATTCACTACAATGGAGTTTCTGTTGTGTAAAAGATCTGCGGGCACTTTATAGAAAATAAAATGAGTGCTGGGTTATGCCACTTTTAATAATGGCCATAAATTATAAAATGGTTATCAGGAGTGGGGCACTGAGAATTATTACAAACTTGATCACTGTGAAATCTAATTAACATGAGAATTACCAAATGGTAATTAATCTTCATGGAACAGAGTCAAACCACAAAGTGTAGCTATATAGACTGCATCAAGCATCTAGATTCAGATTTAGTGAACTGCTATAGACATTCTCCTGGAGCATGATGAATGAAATGAATGGGACTTTAACAAACACATTGAAATTAATGTGGAATCTTTGTGTTGTTGTTTTTTCTTTCTTTCTTTTTTTTAATCAGTTTTTATCATCTCATCTATTTTTGAAATATTTTTGGCTTGATTTGGTTTGTTTTTTCTTCCTCTGTTCTTTTTCTGTTTCTGCATGATTTATGATTGTGGGAAACAAAAGTTATTACCAAAATGGAGAAGGAATGGGAGGAGAGAGCTAACCTCAGAAGCCATGATTTTATGGAAAGCCATAACGAGGGCATGTAAGCGTAAGGAGTAACAAATTTAAGGATGCTATCTTTCAGGCAGATCCAACAAAGAGCCTATTAAGGATGTTTCTAACTCTGAATCTGGTTTTAACATTTTTAGTTGTAATCGCACCCATACTTTCTAACCGTTCTATTAATTAGTTAAGTTCTGTAGTTAATAAGTAAAAACGTTTTCATTATTTTATTATTAAATTTAATTACATAATGTAATATTTAGTCATAATCCACTTTATGCATGCAATCTTTTTTACTGCATCAATTTTATATTTTTTGACTGCTTGAAAAAAAAATAATGTAAATAATTTAATTTAAAAATGATCTAAAGTCTATTTAGAGATAGTAATTAAACTCTAATTATGTCAAAATATAATTTTAAAAGCACTAGCTTCTCTTATAGGTACGATTTGGACAAGAGTATACAGTAGATTATATTAATATACTGGTGCGATTTAAAATTTTGTTTATTGTAATATTAATAATGTGCATTACTCATCATCACAACATCACTTTTTCACTTTTTCTAGTTTTCACTCAAATATTTTGTATGTTAAGATAAGTGAAGCTTTTAATTACAACAAACTGCTGGCATGATATAGCACTTTGAAAAAATTGACATGTAAAAGCATGATTTACATAATGTCATTACTAATGAAGATTACCACATTAGGAAGGGACTCATTTTCATCCTCTTTATGACAACCAGAATTAGGGGCAGGTGGTGAGGAGATGTATTAGTCAAAGGACATTCAGAGACCATTATTCTTTAGACAAGAGATACTGTAGAGCTGATGAAAGACATGACAAACGCCTGCTCATTCCCATCCATCACCATCTATCCCCCTCATTCCTGACAGGCCTGACCCATAATAACATTATATTTTCATTACACTGAGTGATACACAGTTATTGTATAGAATTAAATGTCATTGACCTTTGAACATTTTCACTGTTCATATGTTTGGGTTATTAATTATGGTGGCACACTTACTGAAATATGTCAAAAAATATATATATAAAAGGCTTCATTATTTATATCCAGAAATATTCAAATTATATATAGACATACCAAACACACCACTCATGCTGTCTGAGGAAAGGCCATAAAATAATAAAAGCAGCCACCCAGAACACAATCTGTATGTACCACTACACTCTGGCAGATGCTTCTTGAGGATCCAGTCATGTACAAGTAGTTTAAAAAAACAGTTTCTACTATACAAGCTATCAGGCTTCTGCACTGCCACTTTACTTAATACCTCTTTGTATTACACAACTCTCTGCTTGATTCTGATTGGTCAATCACGGCACTCAGCAGAGAATATTTCTGAATAATTACCTTTGACTACTCATCTGGGAAAGCTATGTTTCCTGCATAGCTGGGGTCCTGTTTTGTCACTCTACTTTCTCACCAATGAGCTAATGATAATAAACATTATTTAGGCTACACATTGCTCATGGAACGTTTTTCTGAAGCTGTTTCTCTTCCTAGAAATTACTGTTACAAGTCAGAACGTGTGGAAACAGAGGTGATAGAAAATAATGAAGAGAACATTTTATACTTGAGCTAAAAAAAAATGTGAATTCAACATCCAACATATTGCTTAACCTTAAATCCAGAATATTTCAGTAAAGTAGGCTATTCAGAACTGAGACGCTTTTTCATATATTCAAGGTAATATAGCGCAGTCTCACCGAAAAGAAATAATTAATTAACTACTCCAATCGTTGAATGGCACTGCGTCATTGCTCAAGGTTTGCGCTCGTACGCCTCCTCACCATATAAAAGCCTCTGAACGTCTCGCTTTCGCAGACCTGTAAGAGTAAGTTTAGAGCAGGGGGCACTTGTTCACCACGGCTTTACGCACAGCTCTCCAAATGAACAAATGTGAAAAACATAGCAAGGAAAACGCTCTTTAATTTTGAATTAGTTATGTGTTGGTATTGAAAAACTAAAATGGATGTTAATGCTACGCTATCAGGACGCAACTTCATAGACTTGCGCATCTTAACGCAGAAACTTCTCTCTTCGGCGAACCGGTCCCAGCAATTTCTGGACAATGAAACGGAGAGCGTCTCCGAGGAGGATTTGGACGTGAATACAGACATCTATTCTAAGGTTTTGGTTACTGTGATTTATCTTGTGTTGTTTGCAATCGGATGTTTGGGGAACTCGATCACCATGTACACACTTCTCACGAAGAAATCTCTACAAAACCTCCAGAGTACGGTGCACTATCACCTGGCGAGTCTGGCCATATCCGATCTGCTCATCTTGATCCTCTGCATGCCCATTGAGTTATACAACTTCATCTGGGTGCATCACCCGTGGGCTTTTGGGGAGGCTGTTTGTAAAGGGTACTACTTTCTGCGGGACGGCTGCTCGTATGCGACGGCGTTCAACATCGCCAGCCTAAGCGTGGAGCGCTTCATGGCCATCTGCCACCCGTTTAAGGCGAAGAGCATCATGTCGCGGAGCCGCACCAAGAAACTCATCAGCGCTATGTGGGTCGCGTCTTTTCTCCTGGCCACTCCGATGCTCTTCACCATGGGACAGCGACTGATCAAAGACGAATTTATATGCACCACTATCGTGTCCTCGATAACTGCTAAATCCGTCCTACAGGTGAGCGCACAGCACTTTTTCCATGCTTGGGGCGATTGGAGCATTTCCCTATATTTCTATAGCCTATAAAGCGGTGGTTATAATTGAGTTGGGTTTTATCTTATACATGAAAAGTAGAATCGTATATGTCTAAAAGAAGTAACAACCTGTTGCATAGTATTTCTCGTTAATACCTGATAATGTTTTTAAATACAAACATTGTCTACACTCTAAAAAAATGCTGGGTCAAATACAACCCAGTGCTGGGTAAAATAGGGACAAACCCAGCAATTGCGTTGTTTTGACCCAGCGGTTGGGTTACTACCCAGAAGGTTGGGTTAAACATTTAACCCAACCGCTGGGTCAAAACAACCCAATTGCTGGGTTTGTCCCTATTTTACCCAGCACTGGGTTGTATTTAACCCAGCATTTTTTAGAGTGTACATCCAACATGAATTTCCACATCTAATTAGTGACGTCATTTAAGTGTAAATGTTAAATGAGCACTCAGTATTTTTTTCCGCATAATGAGTAAATAGCACGTTTTAGAAATAATGTAGACTCACATAAGATGAAGTCTCCATTCATATCAGTTTTCCAGAAAAAGCGGTTTAATTCTTTATGGAGCGGGTCGCCCCCTCTTGGGCGCCATCACATGACCAGCAGTGACACTAAGCTCAGAGGCCGGCTTCCCCATTAGGCAAAGGTAGGCGACTGCTTTAGGCCCCCAAAAGCTAAGGGCCCCCTAAAATGCTTTTCATATACCAGATGAGCATTAAGCACAGAGCTGTTTACAGTGTTTAATTATTACCACGACAACCATCTGCCTGTCAGCATTGAACGTGCTTCTTGTGTATAATAAAATATCTTGCATCTGAAGCTGTAATTAAATATTGAGCAACAGTGTGTATTATATGTTTATTGTTTTAAATGCCGCTAACTCGTTTTTGAGAAGGACCCAAGTAGAGGATGCATACACAGTTGCTTTTTTGGTTTATATAATTCTTAGGTGTCTACAATATGAAAGAAAGCCATTATAATATGTACATGAAAAAAGCAGAAACATTGGACACAACTATGGGGCACCATTGTGCAACAGCAAGCATCACAACAAAAAAGGAATCTCAAGGTTGATCTAGGTAAATGTGTGCAAATGTATAGGGCCCCATTCCGCCCCTGACTAAGCTACTACTAACACCCAAGCTTGAGTAAACAGCATTGTTTAAAATGATGGTAAGAATCATGTGTGCCACCCACCGGACAGTTCAAATCAAATGAGTGTGAGATAAAAACAAAATGTCCAACATTACACTGAAGTCCAAGTTGACAAGATGTCACCAAGTCCAGACATGCTGATTCACCAGTCCAAACAGAATGGGTACGAGTGGAAAAATAAAAGGTCCAAACAAGCAGTCTCTGCTGGAGTGATGAAACAAACCGTGACGACCCGCAGCCCCAGTAAGCAGACTGGTGGACAACAACAGCCAGCCATGAACCAGTCCAATAGGTGTCAGTGTAAAAGACCAAAGCCACTGGTACTATTGGAACAAATAAAACAGACAAACATAAATCAAACTTACCAAGTCCACCTTTAGAATATGTAGTTTTTACCTTAAATAGCTTTTTCTGCTTAAACAAGGATCTTGTCTTTGAAAAAAATACTTTTGTTGATTTAACCTAATTCAGTTGGGTTGATTCAGGTATATTCATATTTAAAAACCACAAGAGCAGTGGTTAAATGATTTAATATGTATTATGCCCCTTTGATTGATTTGATTGAGCAGCAGGGTCCTTATTGCTTCCATTGTGAGCACTGATGGTCATGAAAGTCAAAATAAATCAGTCAGTCTAATGAATTTAACTACTCCGTCTCTTGAAAATATTACTGTAAGTCTACCACAACCCATATCTGTTAGTTTGAGTAACAAGTGCCAGAATTTGCTCAAAAATAATGATTTGCTATCTTACAAAAATGGAAAGCACTTGCAGTGCCCTAAAGTAAATCCTGATTGCCTGGAAATGGAGACATTATGCTTTGATTTTTGGAAAATTGTCCTTGCAGCCCTAAGCCTTGCGCTTGCCTTATTCTTTTCTATTACACCAGTGAATCTAATTTTGTTTGGAACAAAATCCATTTACAAGGACAGGAGGTCTCCTGCTTGTAACACTCAGCTCTCTAACTTTCCATATTTGGAAAAAAAAAAAAAAGGTTGAAACTGAAAACAAGCACACCTGTGGGGTTAGGCAAAAATACACGAAAATCACACTTAATTCTATATGAAGTAACATTACAGCATTCCGTCTTTAAAATACATGTAAATAATTGGAACTCATAGCACAGTGGATAGAGTTGGTGAGTCACAATCTGAATTAGACAGAGTGCTGTGCATTACTGAAAAAGGGACAAAACAAGAAAATAGAGAATATGAATGCACACCGAAAAAGAGGCAAATATGCAGAAAAACTGGAGAGATGCAAAAAGAGAGATTCAAGAGTGAATGAATAAGGGATGAATTGATTCGGACAAATTCCATCAGTCATTGAGTGTGTGTATCATCTTGAGAGCTCCCAGTCAAAAGAATGATAGTTGGAATGGCAGCTGTTTGCTACAGGACAAAGAGTTTATCATGTTTCAATCTTGGCAAATTGGTTACAACAGAAAACCCCAAGATGTCCTCTTTTATATACAGAAGTTTTCACAATATGAAAAATTATCCAGTATTATATATTGCTATACTGTAGCAATACCTGAAATTAGTGCGCTGTGAGGCACAAAATGATTGCAGAAAGAACACATACATGGTATTTTATTGCTTTTTGAGATGTGGTATAACCTCACCCCATAAAGTGTAATCTGACACACACACATACATACACACATATATATATATATATATAACACACACAAATATATAAAATGCTATGTAGAGACTTAAGTGAGCACATCTGAGTGTTGAGAATAACAAACTGCCATCAAATAGTTAATTGAAATGGACTGAATTTATTTTTTTTTTTACATTAAATTATTTTTTTACATTAAATGAAAGATTTACAGAAATGAATCAGACTTTCCAACTTTTACAGAATAAAATAAATAAAATAAGTGAAGATTAACCATAGACCCTCCCTGTTCAATGTACTGAAGATTTGCTATTGTAGGCAGTACAGAATTATGTATTCCCGTATTCCCATATATATTATGAAATGCACTGTCAGTCTTTTTTAATGTAGCACAGTGTGCCGCATGCTTGAACGTTGATTACTGATTCTCTGGCAGCGCTGTATATATATATATATATATATATATATATATATATATGTTACTGTTTTTTGTTCAGTAATGGCTTCTTGAATATGAGCATCTATACAGGTGTGCTGTACCTTTCACCACCTTCTGTTTGTTGTTGTGATCATTCTTATTGCACAGTTTGTCACCTGAAACTAATCTAGTACTGCACTTGAAAGTACATGGATACAAACATACAAATAAAATGAGACTGACATATACAGTATATAGCAGCGGGCAGTGCTGTTGGCGAGGGTAGGTGGCTGATAGCTGATATTGGCCTGGCACGGTGTTCTGGCAAATGTTTAGAGCTTGTCTCACCATAAAAAGGGGGAGAGAAAAAGGGGTGAGTCAAAGTGTTCAGCTTCTGACACTTCACCCCTTTATTCAACAGTACAACACCTGTAACAACGAGGCAGTGGCATTAGGATCCATGTGCAGCTTTATTAGTTCACAAGGCAGGTCATACAGGCATAAATCGTTAACTGGCATCAGACACAACGTAGGCTGGGCAGAATCGTAAACAGTGTTCGTAATCAGGGTCGAGGCAGGTGGCAGACAAACAATGGCATGATTCAACAAGGCAGGCAGGGTCAGAGTAGGTAGGCAGCAAGCAATCGTAAACGGGTAAACAGTCCAGGTAATCAACAGAGATTCAACACAGGGAAACCACTCAGAAATGTCTGCAAGGCAATACAAAACTTCGCAATGAGAGCAGGGAAGGCACAGTTTAAATAGACCGGGCAATAGGAAACACCTGTGCAGGTGATTAGTCTCTGGCATGGGGCATTGTGGGAATTGGAGTCCGAAGGGATCGCTCAGTATTCCGGTGATGGTTCCCTCTGGTGGTGATC